AATACTCATAACAATAATTAAAATGCATTTTAAGATGTTAATCAGTGTTGATCTGCATCCAAAGCCACATAAATTATGATTTCACAAATACTCATAAGCACATAAAAAATGTATTTATTTAAAGTCATTGATTCATTATTAATTAAGTTTTCACAAACAATAATACAAAATTGATATATTTAAAGCGCTTATAATTGAAATTTGTTAGAAAATTGAACAAAAGAATCACAAATGAAAATCAAGTACACTTCATTGGCTCTTGCCCAACTGATTCCAGTGAATTTCAATTAATTCGTGTATTTATTGAGATACACTCATTTTTGTGTGCTGTGCATTTTATTTATATTGTACAGCAAAATATTTTTCGGGGTGCAGCCAATCGAAGAAACAATAATAATAACATAAATGAAAAAAAAAACGAAAGAAAAAATTTAATAAAAACATTTGTGGAACATATTTTCAATAAATTATGAGTCGAGCATAAATTAGATACGCAGATACATTCGTGTAGATTGCGTCACAGCGCCAGTTACTGTGCTGCTCATTAAAAATGATTTCACAAAATGCGATCGCTGCAAGGGACAGACAGACAGACAGGCAGACAGACAAATAGACAGACCATCAAAACATATATGTACATATATTTTTTAAGTTGTATTTCGACACTCGTAAAATATTAAAATCGAAAAATATATTTTGAGAAAACGATGTACGCATGCAACTATTAAATAAATTAAGTTTGTTGTAAGTGCTGGTCATAAATATTTATGCCTGAGCTCTGTCATAAAATTCAAATAAAGTTGTCGTCGCTCGTGGAGGGCAGGGGGTGGGCAGTGGAACTGGAAGTGAAGAAGTGGTGTCTGTGGAGGCGGAACTGATAGACATTTGGGGGGTGGGGGGCGCCCAGTGCGTTTATAAACAAATTTTGAAAGCAATTATGAATTGTCTCAAGCACACTGGGTCGTTGTCCGGCTGTTTCTTGACAGGAAATTATATTGTTAGGCCATAAAAGTGACAGCCGATCCAAAGAAGCCTATGCAAACATATACATATACATATACATATTCATATACATACATTTACATATACATATACATACCATCATATGCATATCGAAGAGATCTCTTCAGGCCCTCCTCTAAGCAACATGTGCAACTCGCCCCGGTTGAAGTCTGTGCCTCATTTTCCAAAATGACTTTTACGCAGAAGTCGTTAAAAATCAACGAAAATTTCCAATTAATTTTGATAAACGCGCCCCTCACACACATTGCATATGCAACTCCTACCCAAAAAAAGAAGAAAAAAAAATAAATATCAACAACAACAACAACAACAACAACAAAAGAACATTGTTCGCTGCAGCAGCGGAAATTGTTGTTCGAGTTGTTCTATTGATTGGTTTGAAAAGAGGGAGGGAGGGGGAGAATAGCGACCAATTGTTGCTTATTAGGCCGAAATCGTTAAAAATCTATCCAATACATATACACAGACACAATCAAACACAGACACACACACACACAACAAAAGTTGTCTACCAAAATAAAGCCATTCTCAGTTTATGAGCTTTTTTCGGTCTGATTTTTGGCCGCCTTTCTTTGATTTAACGATTTTCAGTTACAAGATCTGGAGTCGAGTTTATCAACAAACGATTAGGCCACAAAGAATGTCCAAATTGCGGTTCGAAACTTTATGTTAAGTTTAACGATGCCAAAAAAACATGATGCCAGCAGATTAGCCAAAGTACTAACAACAACTGCTTGCGGTGTGGGGGGAAACTATAATATGAACTGATGCCTCAGAGTCTATGGCTAACTTGGTACTTCATTTGTGGCTCCCAAGGAATAGAATAGAACAGAGAATCTCTCAGAGAGGTGGGTAACATCAACGTGTTTGATTCAACGAACAACATCCACAAATTGACAGTTGAAAATGTCAAAAGAATCAACTAAATCAAATTACTCCTCTGCTGTTTGATGTGTTTTAAATTTGTTTTTAAGTTTAGTGCAATGTCAGACATGCTCTTTGCCCGTCTGTCACTTGATACTTGCCTGCGTCAAATAATAGTGTTAAAGTTAATGTGCCTGGAAATAACATTAATAATTGCCAATCGATAAAACCATATATTTATTTTAATCTAGAGTACAATGAGCAAAAAGACCTATCTTTTGATAATCGGTTTGACTAGAAACTTGATTTAATGGAGTATTATTCAATAGATCAAAACTATTATAAAAGTCAGGCATTTTATGAAATCGGGTCACTTTTGACAAAGTTATGGCTATGGAAAGTTGTTAACCCAAAACTATCCAGCTAATTGGGAAAAATATAAAATAAATACCAAATCAATATCGAATAGAATTAATGCTCTCGCAAGGCAATGTGAAAGGATTAGCTACTCCGTTATGGTTGCTTAATGCAGGCAATGCAGGCTGGTTTTAGGGACATGCACTTAATTTTTATCGATTTCCCTAACGAATTTTCTTTCGAAAACTAATTATAAAATGTCAATCGGGCTAATGAAGTCCCCATCAAGCGAACCTCATCAGTGTGGCACACACACACACACACACACACTCACGCAGAGTGACAACGCATCCGTTGTCCAGCTGAAGCTACTGCCCATGTCAATTAGAGTGACAGTTGCCAGGGCCAGCAGTCAACACTCAGTCAACGATGCTGGGTTGGGGGAGTGCTGGTAAAAACCCCATCAGACATCAGACATATGCCCACTTTTTGCGCCTGCTTTTGGGTAATTACATTTCTGGGGCTGCATGCAGGGATGCGAAAGAAGATGAAACAGACGGCAGGCGACAGACAGGGAAATGAGAAGAGAGCAGAGCAGAGCAGGACAGAGGAAAGGGGAGAGATTGTTCATCAACTTTTGTCAAACGCATTGTGCGAAAATTGTGCGAAATTTTACGGAGCACTCAGAAACCATAAATCAATAACAGGCACAGCAGCGCTGCAAGGACAATGAGGAGGGAGGACGGAGGATAGAGGACAGAGGATATTGGAAACGACATCAATCAATAGCCTGTAGCAGGTTAAATGAGCGGACGAGAACAATCGAAAATTGCCCGCATCCAAGAGATAGCCAGAGAGAGAGAGAGAGAGAGAGAGAGAACTTGAGAAAGAGAGAGAGAGAGAGGGAGAGAGATAGAGCTGAAGTAGGAGTAAAATTATACAAAAGAACGGCATGAAATTAAGACGACTAGCGATGGATCATTGATGCTGCTGCTGCTGCTGATGATGATGATAATGATGATGATGCTGCTGCTGATAATGATAAAGTTGAAGCCAGAACAAAGGCGCTGCAGGAAACGAGACGAAAACCAAACCAAACCAAACCAAACCAAAAACCAAAGAAACCCCGACGAGCCCAGAAATGAAACGAAGAAGAAACCCTTCTACTGCCTCCTTGTGACTGGCTGTGTTAGAGAGGCGGTTGCTCCTTTTTTTTTTTTTTCCTTTGTTGTTGTTGTTTTTTTTGGCGTTGCCCGCTGCGATCGCGTGTTCTTCTTCAATTACAGCGCCATTATAGCAATGCGGAACGTTTACGGTGTCGGCGGTGCCCAGGCGAAGGGCAACGGCAACGGGGCCAGGCGAGGATTGTTGCCGCTGGACGCACAAAGCCGCCGGCTGCCGCCAGCTTCTCCACTTGCCCCTTTCAATTTTTTTCCTTTTTGTATTTTGTGAATTTGCAGCGTAATTCAGGATTCTGGTTGCTCTGTTATTATCGTCGAGTTTTGGGTCTTGGGCTGGGGCAAGTTTTTTTTTTCTCCTTTTTTTTTTGGCGGCTGCTGCTGCTAGTGGTGGGTAATTGCCCCGATGTCGAGCACAGCAGGCGGCACATTAACAACAACAACAAAAACAACAACAACAATAAAAGCAGCTGAGCTTTTCTACTGCGCTGCGAGAGAGGCCCGACCCGATCACTGATCCTTCAAATTAAAAAACAATCAAATTTCGATGCGACCTTAAGGAGCGAGCGAACTTAAAATGGGGTATTACCAATACAGAACATAATTAAAGGCTTGCCATTCAACAACTAGTTGAATTTTAAGCTACCATTTAGGGCGTCGTAAGTTTCGCCTGAATAGGTCAAAGCAGTTCAAAACAATTTAAATGCTATTTCACAAAGACCTGATATTTAAGCCAGAATTATTTCGGGTTGCTATATTTGAGAATTGCTTTTTTTTAAGTTAGTCAGTCTTTAAGCTGCTTTCTCCAAACTGAAAATAGGTTTTTAGATTGTCTATAAATTATAAGCTTGTTTTATGAAGATTTCCTAATAAGACTATAATACATTTTAATACTCCCAGACTTAGTTTGCTTTATTTTAATTTTTTTATTTTGCATTTTTCATTTAATTAGTCAGTTTATATTTTATTAAAATATGTAAAAATTAATAAAATTATTTAAATACATAAAAGAGTTTAAATATATTTATTAACATAGAATTATTGTAATATAAAAATAAAAAATGTTTAATTATGATAAGCTTATTAAGTTTTCCAACTAGGTTGAAGTACAGATAATATTGAAGTTAGACACATGCAACTATATCTATAGTTGGGGATTATATTATACCCATTATAAGATTAGTACAGGGTATTTATAATCCGCTGCCACAGCCCCGAAGAGCAGGTGAAACTGTTTGATCATTGGCTCTTAAATAAATAAATGTCAACAGCGAACATTGCACCGAATTGATGTATTTATGCATGTTAACAGCAATATTTCTAGGCTGCAACGGTTAACAGCAGGCGAAGCCGCTCTTTTCCACAGATTAACAGCAGCTGTTTTTGCACTTACAGTGCTTAATGTTCCGATTCCGTTCCATACGAACTGTTAGCGCTTTAACAGAAGAGAAGAGAGCGTGTTGCTCACTCTCCGCACATTGACCAAACCACTTTACGTTGTGCTGTGTTTGAGATGTGAGGGCGCCGTTTCTGTGTTTCGTGTAATTTCAGTTTGTTTCCGTACGCCTAACGAGTTGGTCGTGTGCGCTCGCATAAGTATTGCGCGTCATGTGAGTTGTGTTTTGTTTGATTCTGGAATATACGCGAGGCAAACGTGCGTCCTTTACGTGTATCATAAATAAACAACACACAACAACAGCAACTAAAAGTGAACGGAAAGTGAATGCAGTGAATGAATGAGTGATTTTGCAATTATTATTACTTTGGTGCGCATTTTCATTTGTATATTTTGCAGAGCGTAAAGCAAGTGCCGTTAAACACCAAAAACCGCCCCGCAAACAAAAACAACCACAGCAAGCACCGCAACAACAACAATAACAATACTACACCCCAAAAATACGCTGTCAACATCACAGTCGCCGTCGCCGTCGCAGTCGTTGTCAGCGTCGCAGTCGCTGTCAGTGTTCGCTGTTCGCATTTGGAAATACAAATCGTGTTTTGCGCTTTAGCATTTTGCAGTTGTTATTTGTTGCTGCCGCTGCTGCTGATGCCTGTTGTTGTTGTTGCTGTTAGTGTTGTTGTTGTTGTACATTCGCCAAGTTATTTACGTCGGGTCGCGCAAACAACAGCAACAACAACAAAAATTTACAATTAAAATTACGCGCGCTACGTCAAAAAGTATCTGTAAGATATATACACCAAAACACAGAGAGAAAGGGTGACAAAGAGCGAGAGAGAGAAAGAGGAGAGGAAGTCGCACAATATGCGCCAAATTCAACTAAAATGCAGCATATAACGGCTGTAAAAAGTTTTACGATCCAACCGTAACGTTGTTGCCCCCACAGCCCCCAGCCCCCAGCCCCGTACATCATCCGGCATAATGCCAGAGACAAATTAAGGTCGCTTCGTTGCTCCGTGTGGCACACCTGAGAGAGTGAGTGCGGCAAGTGTATTAGTCTCTTAGCAGCAGCGACAACAACAAACAGACAAGGATAACCCACCCATAAAGACCGTAAAACATTTGGCTCCAAAGCAACAATATTGTAACAGTAACATTTACAGTTAGAGTCGCCGCTACACGCTCGTAAATTGCAAAACAAAACCCAAACAAAATCCAAAGCCAAAAACCCAACAACCCAACAACGACTTTCTGTTCTAGCTGCAACCAAAAGCAGCAGCTGCCTGCAGAGAATAGCGGCAGCAGCAGCAGCAGCAACAGAAACTCAGCAGCAGCGATGGCGGGAAATATTGTCAAATGGTGGAAGCATAAGATACTCGGCGGCTATAAACAGTTCTCAGGTAAGAGCAACACAATTGTTTATTTCCTACTAAGCCAAGAGAATTGACAATAAAAACAATTTGCAATTTATTTACTTTGTAGTTTTGCTTGAATACGGCAACTTAAACTAGCAAAAAGACCGAAATAATGGCTTCAAAGATAGTCGCTTCTATTTTTGATTTGCAATAATTTTATTATTGCATAAATTATTAAGTTTTCTTATTACAATAATTAGCAAGAAATTCAACTAAATAAAAATACACAAAATATATATATTAGTTTTTTGGTTCATGGTATCTAGCATATGGTAGACTGCCATATGATTGGTGTTATCACAAAGTGCCCCTTCTGTCTTCTTTGAGACAATGCCGCACTAAAAATGTACAACAAAATCCACACACACACACACACACACACACACAAAATATCCAACCGATTTTCTTTACTAAAATGCTGCTGTCTACGAGACGTAAAGAAGAAATTTGAAGATTCATTCAGTCAAGGGCTTCTCCCACATCCTTCTCCAATAATTACACACAACAACAAGAACAACAACGACAACAACAACAAATGGAAACAACGAGAACAACACACACACAGTGGGAAATGTGGAAAATGTAGGCAATCGAACGTTCTTTATCTGCAAGATACACAGAACGTTCGCTTGTGGTCGCTAGAAGAAGAGAAGAAAAAAAGGCACACAAAAATAGAACGTAGAAAATCCATAACAACAACAACAACAATAATAATAATAACAACAACAACAAAAGCAACAGCAACTCAGAAAAACATCAAAAGAATACGACGCACGAAAAATAAATAGAAAATGGAAAAACCAAAGAGCACCGGCCAAGTGGCACGTTGAATGCGTCAGGCAGCAGAGAGGCAGATGCAAAAGAACCAAAGGGAAGAACTATCTATGTATGTGTGTATGCGTTGAGATCGAATTCGAACTCGCCGCAATCGTGATCAATAGAAAAAGGCGGCTTCTTTTTTTCAAATATATTTTCGGCGACATTGCCAACTTCTAAAAAAGAAGAAAACAAAAGTATCATAATCATAAATAAGCAGGCAGATATAAAAAGGGTTCCTCAAAAGTATTTTCTGCGCGCACAAAACAGAAAACGTCACATCAATCAATCATCAATCAATGTGATTATTTATTTTTTGTGGCAGTGTGGCAGTTTCAGTGGAAACGTTTTGCTCTTCGCTGAGAGCGGGTTTGCGTTTGGTTTACAATTACTGCATCAATTAAATGCCAGGGCAACACTTCGAATTCAAGCACAAGGATCGTCTGCAGCAGCGCTGGTAACCCTGGCATGCCACAGAGCCCCCATACACTAATTGCTTGCAGATGCAGAAGCAGAGAGCGACAGAGAAAGAGAGAGAGAGAGAGAGAGAGAGAGAAAGAATTCAAAGGAAACCCAAAGGCACGCCGAAGTATGCAACTTCAAAGAAAGCAGCAGCAACAGCAGCAACAGCAGCAGCAGCAGGCAAAAGGCACCAAAAACCGAAAAGAAAAACAAAAAACCAAATAAAAATATAACCTAAAGCGGAGAGCAAAAACACATTGAAATGCCGAACGGGCGAGCGAAAATTTCTTACCTGTTGCAGGTAGAGCTAGCTGTCTTGAGGTAGAGGCAGCTGCTGTTGCTGCTGCCATGCCACAGCAAAAAAAAAAAACCTTTTAAAGCCCTCACGTTGATAAAACAACAACAAGCAGGCGACGTCGTCGTCGTCGTTGAGTCGCCGCCACAAACAAAAATAATAATAACTGCGCGCGGCAAACGGCGTCGGCGCGTTGCAAGGCAGCGACTCCTCCATCTACACAGCTCCACAGCTTGCAGCAGCTCCATCTTCAGCAACAGCCTCAGCCTCAGTGCCAACCAGTTCCGCGCTTACAACTATGCCAGGCATCTCGGCGGCCATACACAAAAGCGGTTTAGAGCCGACGATCGACAGACGGACAGACGGACATACGGACATACAGACAGATAAACAGACAGACAGACAAACGAGCGTACGTTGCTTCGTATCTTTGAGATACACACTCATACACACGCACACACAACGCGGCCTGTGCCTGAGCCGCGGAACAAGCTGCGCTTTGCGCACTGTTCAAAAGATGCGCTTTTTGCTTTAAGTTCGGCAATACACACACACACACACACACAGATAGACACTTTGCACCGTGTGGCAAAATTGTAGTTTATCAATGTAAAAATTTATATTAGATTTGTGTGTAAATTATTTGAAATATGAATGTCATTAAAATGTTCTTTAGTTTTCGATTTTTTTTTAAGAAATAATTTATTAACAGAGCTAGCGACGAAGCGGTTGTGCTCTAATTTGTATTAATAATTATAATAGTATTGGTATATAAAGATAGCACTGTTAACATTAATAAATAAATAAATTACTTTTACCTAATTTTTGGCAGATCTCACTGAAAATAACAGAATACAGAAGTTTCCTTAAAATAATTTAATTCTAATTTTATATTTTGATTTAAAATCTTTTTAAAAACTGTGGACTGCTTTAAGACCCACATTAATTAAATAAATAAACTCTTTCAAGAGTTAGCAAACTTGCAAAATTGCATGTCAGTTTTTGAGGCAGATCAAATATTTCAAATCATGTTGTTTTTAGTTTGGTTATTTTTAGCTATAATATAAATATATTAAAATATGACGTATTTTTGTATAATTCGTTAAAATTTGTGTCACTGTGCGTGTAGTGAGTTTCGCAACAGTTGCTACTTGTTGTTGTTGTTATTGTTGTTGTGAATTACGGTAGAAGGCAACAGGCGATTCCAATGGCAGGCTGGCAGTCAGGCAGGCAGGCAGGCAGGCAGGCACTCATGACAGGCTCAGGCTTCAGCTCTGGCAAGCAGATCTGCACTTTTGAGGCTGATCCTCAGAGGAGGTGGCACAGAGACGGAGAGGTTCAGCATAGCAGAGCGCAACTCTCTTTAAGCAATTTTCGTAATATTAGCCAGGAAGTTGGCGTTGCCGTTGCCTTTGTTTTTTATTTTTTGTTGTTGTTGTTGTTTTCGTTGATGCTGGCATTGCCTGACATGCCAGCGACCTTATAAGGCTTAGCTTGGTGCAGCGAACGACTGTTGGACACCAGTCTCAACTGGTTTTCTTTTCTTTTTTTTTTTTTTTGGGTTTTTTCTTTATTTATTTATTTTTGTTGAGTTTGTTGTTTGTGCTTTTTGGAGGCTATGTCTTTTGGCCTGGGCCGCCAAAAACAATGCCGCCTGTGCCAAAGATAAAAAGCTGTTAGCTTGTAGCTTCTGCATTTTGCGGCCACAGCCAAGACAGCAAGCCAGCAAGAGAGAGAGAGAGAGAAAGAGAGAGAGAGAGATAGAGGGAGCGAGAGCAAGAAGGGGGCAAGAGAGCCGGAGCAAGGGCCTCTTCCTCAATCAGAAGATATATGTAATGACTTTTCGAGGTTTTTGTTTTGCTCGTCAGAGTTTGTTTGTGTTTGTTGATTTAGCAATTGGCTTCTTGGAAATGTGCCGCCAGAGTTCAATAAGCAAACACAGCAACAGAAACAGATGCGACATTGACTTTCGACTCTGGCTCTCAACACAATGTTGCTTATATGTAAATTGTTAGTTTAAACATTAAGGTTGCCGCTACCCCTCCCCACCCCTCCCCCCTTGTTTCATTCATTTGTGAGTTGGCATCAAAAGTAAAAAGCTGTCGGCTCTATCTTCAGTAACGCTTCTTTCAATGAATATGATGGAAAAATCATGTCAGCCAGTCAACTGTTAAATACTATGCCTCCTCTCCCCTTGCCCCACTGCCCCCTCTGCGTTTGTCTGCAAATTGTGTAGTTTGCGTTAACGGTTGCCTGACTGCCTGACTGCCTGGGCTGCATGAACGGTGTCGGTACGTCTGACGTCTGATTGATAAGCGCGCTCCGCCTTATCTTAATAATATTTAATGCATGGCCAGACCGCTCCAAACGGAGTGCGAACACAACAACAACAACAACAACAACATCGGTGTGGTGTGGAGGGGTGTAGAGAGTGAAAAAGAAATGAGTGGAAGAGCAGAGCGCATAGTGAAAATGAAATTGAAAAATAATACAAAACGCTTTGTCGGTCATTAGCTTTGAGTGGACGCCGCCGCATTTGGGGATCGTCGTCGTTGGTTTGAGGCACGTTGATTGTGTCAAAGTGAAAAGCCGCAAAAAAAAAAAGAAAACAACGCAGAGTCACATATGGAAACAAATAGAGAGTGAGAGAGGTGAATAAAATGACATGGAACCGCTTTGGGCGAGTCTGCCAGTCCAAGCTCAATTGCAATGCACAGCAAAAAACTGCCTTAATTCTGAGGTATTTTTTTTTAAATTAACTACGTTGTGATTTTACTTATTTATTTATTTATTGTGGATTTAAAACAGTCTACAATTTGTAAAAAAGATTTTAAAAAACGTTATTTTTCATTTATTAATTCAATAAAAAGATTTTAAAATTAGGGCTACAAATTAAATTATATACAATTAAAAGTGAGTAAATAAATTTCAATTTAAAATTGAGAAATAAAGTTTGGTTTAAAATCAAAGACCCAATTATATATTTGGAAAATTAAAAAATTGCATTTGCTGAATGATGACTATAAAGGACAAATTTTAAATAAATCAACAATTTTACCTAAAAACCTATAATGTACTTAAAATTACAATTTCCAGAGGTATTATTATTATTTAAAATGCCAACAATTCACAGACACTTCGTTTACGCATATTTCAATGGTATTAAATATGGCCAACAGTTAATTTGCATAGCAAAATAAATGCAGCTAAGACACACACACAGAGTAACCACACACACACACACATACACACATTATGCAGGGTATTAAGCGCTTCAGCATTCTGTCTACTTAAAATACAATGCGGTACCAAAAGTATTCGCCAGAGAGATAAAACTAAAAGCGTCCAACAAACCAAACCGACGACAACAAAAGAATACTACGAGCTTGTTTGTGTGTGTGAGTGGGTGTTT